GGGGGGGGCACAGCTGGCTCTGCCTCTAGATAGGCAGAGCCAGCTGTCATTCACACAGCTGGGTGGATCTCGACAGTAATGTCGGGATCCGTCCCAGCTGCAGCAGTCTCAGTATACCACGAGCTGTACCTCACGATATACTGAGCTTTGGGTCACGAGAAGATGCTAGTATATGTTCTCCCGTGACCTTAAGAGAACTATGGGGAAAAACACTTACCCCACAGTTCTCTTTTAAGATATTTTAAGATGCTACTGTAAACCAAAGTATCAATTACTGTTTTTGTGGCAAATTCTTACTGCTGGCAATTATTATTCAACTGGCAAAACATGGATTTTAAAGAGCAGGGCAAATAGATGCTTTCATGCAATGAGCTCATCTCCTCACATATGCAGTTGAGATGATTATTATATTCATGGCCTGTGCATTAAATGATTAATTCTTCTACTTTTTTATCAGTTTGGTTTGTGTATAGCTAGCATTTATGCAATGATGGACAAAATGCTTTTTGCATTGCATTCAAATAGATATCACCTGATAACGCTTAACAACACAATGAATGATGATTGCTGTCTATTGTAAATCTAGGTTGTGAAACCTAGACTTTTATATACCAGTGGTAACCCACATGACTACCTTGAACACATCCCCTGCTTCAAAGCCAAGTGCTCTCATGATGACAGCAAACAAACCAGAGTTGCTTTCCTCTGATGTAAAGAAAAAAGTTAACAGTATTTGTCAGCTTGGATAAGAAAGACCACAACCTTCATGTAATCAGGTTTTTTGATTAATTGGAGCTTTATTTAATAAGAAGCATATGGATTTTCTATGGCAGCCAGCAATGACTCTTGAGCTTAATTTTCTTATAATATACTATGGTGAGTTACATTGCAGGTTTCTTCATGAGAATGTCAACTTTTTAACCCTCCTCGTCTCCGGAGACCTAACACCCTTAAGACTGTCATAAAGTAAATGTAATGAACAATGGATTAAATTGGTATAAACAGGACATTTCTACACCAGAACAAAATGATAATGAGAAGCTGACTCGTCCTCTGTCAACTCAACTGAGAGCTGGGAATTCAGCTAATAGACGCAATAGGTGACATTCTCAGAATTATACAGGACATTGTTCTCCTACAGTGGATTTCTGTGGCTTGGATAACAGTAACATCCATATTCGGTCAATGATGTCACCCAGGATCCCCACCGGCTTGTTTACATACAGTAGCTGGTGGAGATCTGTAATTTGCAACGGGAGTAGCTGCTGGGTGAAGATTGAGGCACTCATTCTGATTAACGTGGATCTACATCACCAATTTATGATATGATTTATTTACTCTTTACATTTTTTTTGTGATTAAGTAATAAGAGATACTATGTATGCCTGACTCATTTATCTGGGAATGGGCAGATATCTAGGGGCCTCCTTAATCTAGACAACCCTTTTGGGGTACAGGATGCGAGGATGAGCCCTCCCCCTTGCAAGGTACTCTCCCAATGTTGAGAACATGTTGCCTGGCATGGTTTGGGGGGAGAGAAAACACGCTTGCTGCCCCTCTTCTGTGCCCAGCCAGACTTCATGTCTAGTTAAGGGTCTTGTATGAAGTTTCCCCATTTGCAAGGCACATTGTCCCTGTGTTGATGGGGACACAAGTCTCATCCCCACATACTGTCCCCCAAATGGCATATAGGGGGCCTTATCAGAATGTGGTAGCAGGGCCACCATTAGAAATCCCCCCTCCCTTGCAAGGCAGCTTGTCTCCATGCTGATGGGCATAAGGACCTCATCCACACATCCTCTCCCGCAAAAGGGATGTGGGTTTCTTAAAGAGATCAATTACATAGATTTAAACCATATGCAATATTTTATTTCTATGTGGCTCCTCGTGTTTTAGGAGCTTTGTTTGTGGGGGTTTTTTGTGTCTGCGTTTAACTGGTAAACATGCAGATGATGCTCAGTTTGTAAGCACTTGTAAAACTCTTGCAGGATTAGATGTCCTGGACAATACCATAGCTTAACAACCCCTGTGACAAGGTGCTTGCATTTGTGTTCACAACCTGCCCACATTTATCATTCTGAGCCTTTTCCTGAACTTACACTTCCCAGGGGTCCAATTTTACTTAATCGCGTGGTTCTTTTGTCATGTGAACATGTTCCCATTAAGGATTTACAATGAGGCCGCCACATGCATTTCAATGGGGCAAGCAAACTAAATTGAAACTGGATGGCCATGATCTGTGTGAGCGATGGACTTATATAGTTATCAGGGAACAGTCTATTACAGGAATAAGAAAAAAAGGAGAACAAAAATGAATATTAGTTACAGTAAGCACATTAGTCATAGGGTCATTCACAAAAGGGTGAAGAGTTTGGAGAAGAGAGGAGAAGTGAATAATATAGCACAACATAGCTGAACTGGAAAGTGAGCTGAATTGGAGTATTTTTCCAGTTCAGCTATTTTGGCCTAGATTGTTCACTTCTCCTGTCTTCTCCAAACTCTTCACCCTTTAGTGAATAACCCTGTGAATATTCCAGTTAGAGATAAACCATACTTAAAGTTGATCATTTGAGTTCATATAGCTGAAAATTAAAGCATATCAGTAATGTGCTTTGCCTGTTGTAGAATGCTATAACTCACGGTGTTATAGTATATTTGGCTGGAAAAATTATATTTAGCAAGAATTATTGTTTTCTGGCTATATAGGTTTGGGTTAGGTAATTTTAAATGAGGTCACTTACCACAATGTTTAGGCACACAGACACTTTTGAGCATTATATATCTATTCTCATTATGCGTTACCCCTTTTCATATGCTGTATTATCCCATATAAAAGAAATGAAAGAAAATGAAAAGAAATTTAGATGAAAACTATTAAAACTATGAGAATGCTCGTCTGCTTGACATGAGGACAATTTTTTTAAAGCATAATGGGTACTTTCATTACCTTGCCTTTTTTTCCAAATTTTTTTATTACTGATATTTTTTGTTTTCAATTCACCTTAGGTTTTATTGCTCAGATCACCTGAATTTACCACTATTATATTATTTTATTGATTTTATAGTAATTGATGTTTTATCAAAGATTGTAGCACTAGTTATTCCTCCTTAAAATACTACCAGCTTCAGGCTGACAATAAATATGTGTTTCAGTGAACAGGAGAAGGAGCCGTTTGAGGTGGTGATAAAATAGTGAATAATAAGAAGTTTGGGCTTTGGGCGATTAGACTGCCATTTCTCCTCAAATGGCTTGTTTTTTTATTGAATAGTTTGAGTTAAAATAAGTCATCTGTCCCTGTGAACTGACTCATTTTTTTCTTCTATCTGGTAACTGCCTCTGCTACTTGGTTTATGCCACACCTAACAGTGATCCAAGAGCACATTGCATTTATATTAAGCACTGTTGTCGGTCAACTTTAATAAATAATATTTGCAATATTATTGAAACTATTAAAGCAATCTGCTTACTTTTGAACCAAAAGAAATAATCTCTTACCAAATACTGTGATCTCAAATAATGTACAGGAATTGTTTTATCAATGAACACATATACTGTAGGTTGAACCCAAGCTGACAAGATGACACATTCTTTTCACCCTCTGTAATTTTTAAGAGATTACATTAGATTGAATTCATTTTGGCAATCAAAGTAAAAAGTCTGGTAGAGTCCAGTCACATTATTATACCTGGATTTGCCCGTTTTTATCACCCAGATTGCTGATTAATAGGTACATTTCATACAGAAGCTGGCAAAGGCCATGCAGATGATATTTTTAGCCTAAAAAATTAATGTGTGGTGCAGTAAATGCTCAACAAGTGTTCAGAAAAGACGTAGATAATCGAGTATGGTGTGTCTCCCTCAGAAATCACTGATAAAGTTAAAGGAGAACTATGGGGTCAGTGTTTTTCCCCATAGTTCTCCTTAGGGTAACGGGAGGACACAAACTAGCGTCCTCCCGTTACCCTAACCTCAGTATACCGCGAGCTACAGCTCGCGGTAGTCTGTTAAACTTGCTAACAGTTGATGATGGAGAATGTAATATTGACTGTGGTATAAACATGGTGAATGTTATTGTGCCCTGGATGAATAATGGAAAGGCCCAGAATTTGGTGAACATTGGGAATTAGATCAAGCAAACAAGCGGACAAATCTGAAAATAATAATACACTTTATAAATGCAATCAATGATACAAAGAATCCAGTAAGTGGTGAAAAACTGATAATTTGGTGCTTTAAACATATGACGCCATACGTGTGTGTGTCATGCTCTTTTTGTTCCCTTATATAAGTTTAATAAACTACCTAATACAATAATGTTGTAATGTCAGCAGCTTGCACTTTGCTCTAAGCTCTGATTATCTTGTTGTTAACTAGTGGCCTAAATAATTGCATGTCTATTATTTAATCTGACAAGCCCTCTTAAAATGTTATCTTCAGCACTTTATCACTGTTGAACTTAATGGAGTTTTTTTATTTGGTTAAACCAAACAGTTGGCCAGTTAGAAAATCAATCAGTCTATCCAGATCCACTTTAATGTACAGCTTTAATGGTCTACACCATTGTCATTAATTTAGGCTGGCAACACACATTGCCATCTAATGTCAAAAGCTTATTTTTTTAGAGGTAACTACACTCCATGTAGTAAATAATTGCCAAGGAATTTTACTTTAAACATGAAAAAAAAACAATGCTGCTGTATGCACATAAAGAACTATAGCAACAGAACTTTTCTGTTAGAAAACAACTGCATTTTAAGGAATAGTTTTCAAATGGTAATGCCTTTGTACTGCTAAAGAAAGGTTGAATGTTTTCCTGTTGCAGTGTTTTTAGTAAGGAAAAGTCAGACATGCATAGTTTTCCTCCCTGCTTGGAAAGGTCCATACATTAAGGTCCCAGGATGTGCTATGAGAGATCAGGAGTGGCATACAGGCCACTTGGGGTGCCTGATATTTAATGCAACTGTCAGATCAATAACTTCAAATGTTATGCAGTTTTACTGTAAGCTGCTCAGATCCATAACTTCAAATGTTATGCAGTTTTACTGTAAGCTGCTTTTCACTTGTAAAGCAATACAAATATAAATGGATATTATTCCCCTTTAATGCCTTTAATGCTACCTTAATTGCAATGAGATTTTTATCAGGAAACATTTTTTTGCTAAATATTGTTTTTGCCCCCCCCCAGAGTTTACCTCCTTGAAAACAATTATTCATCTGCAATATGTTATTTGGCCTACACAAAATTGAAAAATAATGTTGTGATATAAATCAGATGTTTATCAACAAAGTATCTCAAGATGAATGGTCACACTTAATTTTACTAGCTTGTGCTCAGCTGTAAAAAGAACAATTATACCACATTTGCTCCTTGCTACAGTTTTAGAGCACATCAATCACAAGGCTTGTCTGAAAAGGAGGGGTGAGTCAGCTAGGACAGTGTTGTTTGAGTAAGAAGAGACAGGGTATAGGAAGTTACCAAGACATAACTGGAGTGAATTAGAATTCAGCCCTAAAGCTGGCAATCAGAGGACAGGCATCAGGGGACAATTGGATGTGCATACACAGTCTGACTATTTGAGGATGTCTTTGAGGCCAGCTTCAGGCATAAATGCTTTGGTCATGTTTACACTATGGAGCATGGAGGGAGAACACCATACAGACGCCTCAGGCACTGGCTTACCTTCTGGGAATAATAGCATAAAAATGTTCTAAGAGTACCAATATGCAGATAAAAAAAGCTAGATTAAGCAACAATCATGTCTATTTGGAGCAAAGGACCCTGATGAGCCAGCTATTTTTACAAGGTGGATAGGTAGGGTAATTGGCACCACCAGCGTCTGCCAGCATCTCTCATCTCCTCCCCTGCGGCATCTCTATAAACATAGTCAGGTGTGCAAGCATGTGCGGCCTTCCTAAGGTTTTTAAGCAGTTTACAGATGGTCAAAAACCCTACTTTTATCCAATGGTTGGACACGTTTGGGCAAAGATCAACCGTTTAACTCAATGGAAGCACCCGTTATCATACATTGGGATTTTGCAACTTGTTGAAGGTGTTAACAACACATATGCCACTTTAATAGGTCTAAATAAGCAGCAATATGTCTCAGTGCTACAGACAGTGGGCAGATGTCTCCATTGGCCTATCTATAGCTTTATCTATCCAATCACTATCTGGGTTCAGATCTTTCAGCTTGTGTTGTCTGCGAGTGCCCATGGATACAGATTTCTGTATACACATGAACTTATAAAATTGTCTATATAAAACAACATAGAAGAAGCCTGCTCAACCTCTGAAGCTTCTCTGTAACGTGTGTAAATCGTGTATGGCAATGTATACATTCTTCCAAGTTCTAAGGGTAAATCTGACTATGCATTAAGGCAGCAACATGTCCATTCATATACAATCTGTTACATGCAGTGAGTGCACGTGGGCAGAAATTGGCTAAAACAGGGTGGAGGAGATCAGAAGCACTCAGATGCAAGAAATGTAAAACAGTATTTTATGCAAAACAACATGGCAATTCTTTATGATGAACAGTGGTTTAGCAGAAACAGTGTAATGCAGTTAGTGCTCAGATCTACTTTGAAGTGGCTCTGTCAGTAAGTGCAATGGAAGTAAAGTAAAGCCAGTCTATAAAAAAGGATGTTGTATACTTACCTTTCCTGTGGCCTGGGTCTTAAAACTCCGCTGTGTTTTAGACCTCCAGCTGCCTCTGGTCTCCAACACTTCCAAGTGTGTTGAACACCTGGTCCCCTACAACAGACTGTGATTCTTTCCACCGGCTCTTAGTTCACTATATGGTGTAAGGGCCGGTAGAAGTAAACACAGTGCACACAAATTCCCAAATCTCAAAAGGTTTAAAAGATCCTACACATGCATGCTCATTATCATGTACAAGGTACTCCTGCCATATTTTCATAAACAGTAGCTTGTTGAAATCGAAGAGCATATATGAGACCCTTTGGACTGTAAACTCTCAGTGGTAGAGCACACATACCTGTTGCCAAAACACAGCCCACTTTATTGTCAGCATTAGGTCACGCACCAAAATTAGCATCTTGACTTTATCTTCTGCGTACACCACTCTAGGCACCAGATCAAATGATACATTATTGCAGTGGATTGAAAAGATAGGATTGTGTTTGTTAAATATCAGCACCACTAATTGACTGATACTGTGCCTATTAAAACATTACTATCTCAAGGGCTTCCGCAGTCCTATTGAAGCTCTCAAGCAGATGATGAATGACTAACCTGATAATTTAGCTGATTTCAACAGAACATATTTACTATAGGCCCTCATTGTAGTGAAGAGGGGGCATCTTAGTATCAGTTGCATATAAGGGTATTCGGCTTGGACTGTTAACGCCCCCTCCCCGCTAGGTCAAATTAAATAGCCTGCAGAAAAAAATCATTGTCTGACCTTAGCACATTGTCTGCATTATCAGTGTACAACCCTTGAAAGTGTTTTAAGGAATTTGACAAAGGAAGGCAAGTAAAAAAAAAAGGCATCAGCATCTATATAGTGTATAATGATAATATTAATAATAATATAAAAGTAATATCTGAATTATCTAAAAAGTCTAGCATTTAACATTTAAAAACAGCCGTTAAAATGTAACAAGAGGAATAGTATATATGCACAGTTTTTATTTTAAGTAATGTAAACCCAAGTCCCGCAACATGGAATTATAGTAGAATTTCTCCTCTAGGGATAAAAAGTCTAAAGAGTTATTAAAGGGAAAAAATTAGTTCTACTTATTAAGTTCATGTTGCGACAGGGCTGTCTGCATGAGCTCTTAACAAAGACGTCTACCCAAAACATTTCTTGTTTTAAGATAGGATGGGGAAATGTTAAAACATCTTTGAACTCATTGGGGAAATTTTAACTCAAATCCTTCTCCAGGTACTAGCAGTAACTTGGACAGAAAGTTGAGGGAATTTAGGACAGACGTTCTAGCCCCTCCCTACTCCATTCAAGACTGATTAGAAAAAGACTGACTTCTACTTAAATCTCTGGCTAACACTTTTAGTTATTGGCATGGGATAAGTATGCATATAAAACATCTGACTTTCTTTCAAGCGTACTTGTTCAGGATCACTTACTCAGGATGTACTGAAGCTATTGTGTCATAATAGCCAGGAAACTGGTATTTCCAGGAGGTCAGCAATTGTAGCCATCATATTTCTCTCCTGGTAGGTTTAGTTTAAGTAATGTAGTAACACTGGGGCAGAATTATCAAGCAGAGTACTTTTAGTAGGTAATTAAATTCCTCTTGTCATTTTCCGACATACAATAAACAATGGCATTTAGGATCTTATTTGTCATGCTTACTAAATTGTCATGCTTACGTTTGTCTGTTTAACCATTTAAAAAAAATTGAATTTATGGATATAATTGTGATGTCTAATTTATAGAGCATGATTATGTTTATTCACTGTACTATAGCAAGAAATCTAGATAGTTTACCTGCCATCAGGATGTTCAGCACTTGGGTCCTCACATTACCTATATCTAACATGCTTTTTTTCTATTACCAGGTCATTTACAACAACTGAAGAAGATGGAAATGGAAAAGTATTATTTATTAAAGGATGCTCTGCGTGTATCGGATGCACATCTCCATGGACCAGGATCACGTGTCCCTTGGCTTCAGAAAGATGAGCAGAGACTAAATTTAAGAGATTCAATCATTGCTTTGAGACTGTAACAAGACTTGAAATTTCACAGTGACAGTGAAGTGCTGCGCATCCAGCTGTGTCCCAAACAGACTAAGAAAGAAAGCAATCCAGTGTATAATGTATATAAAAAAAACTTTATGAAAAGCAAAGTATAGGATTCTTAGGAACCTATTCTAGAAGGCAAGGTTTCTCTACGTTCCATACTGCAAGGCTTCAGTCTTTGCAGTTGTATATATCACACTACATCACCAGAGCCTCTGCTGATGTCTTCATCTCACAGCCCGTGTTATTTTATCTTCTAGAGACAATTGGTTTTTATACTCCAGATAACTGTAATTTGCATGTTTACAGTTATACAATTTGTGACATGATTGCTATCAAACTACACCAAGGAGATGCAAGAAAAAGGATTTATCACAAAACCCCAAAGACCTGTGGTAACACTTTAGGGGGTGTAAAGAAACATACGGTTGTACCTGTCACATCCACATATCCCGACTTTGCACAGTTATTTTTCTTGGAAATACCATGTGACATTTTCTTTTAAAACTTCTTTATCAGCTTTAAAGTAAATCTGTCATCAGGGGCATTGCTAGACCCTGCCACCTGTCCTAGAGCATGTGCCCCAGGGCTTCTACTGAGTGTTCTGGGTCTCCTTTAAGATATGGAGATAATGTATTGAATGCAAAATGCAGATTTGGCATATTGTATAATTTACCTACTTTTTGATTAATCCATCAATATTTTTTTCTAAGCAATGATAACACGTTAAATTCTTATTTCAGTCGTGTCATCATATTGGGACATTTGTACTGGGCAGTTTTTAGACCAATTTGTTTTTGTTCAGTTATAAAGACTATGATAGTCTTAGACTCAGATGTTATCATGGTATTCTACAAGCCTTTCAACATTTTAATCTACATAATGTGCCCAATTGTGCCCATGTCTATTAGGACTCTTGAAACACCCTGTCTGTCATGATACAAATATGGGTGCAGCCGTTGCTGACTTTTTATTAGCTACTATCTACCCGGTTGTCAAGCTTATTCTGTGGTATACTATTTAGTGAGTCATTGACCCAAAACACACACAGAGTCAACGAAATTCAAAGTCCCAGCCAATATGCTTGTTCTCGATCAGTGAATCACTTAGTAGTGCAGCTGTGGGATAGGCATGAGACAACTTATAAAAGCTAGAGGTGTTGACCTGTTAATATTTTCTATCATTGTAGGTCTACTTTTTTGTTGTGATAATAGTCACCCAAGGAGATTATGAAGATAAAAAAAGGATTTACTAAAACTACATTGAACTGACCCTCATGTAACAGTTAAAGAAAGAGTATTATTCATACTTCAAAGTATTCTGACATTTTGTATTATGTATATTGTGTATATTGAATCCATGTTCAAGATTAGCTGCTACGTAACAACTGATTTTTTATTTGTTTTTTGGTTTCACATAAAGTCTATATTGTAAATGTAGCAACACTGCACATATTCCATCTCGCAACCTTAGGCATAAAACATGGATGCCACAGTGTCCACTTATATTATTATTTAATCTAAAATGCACAAAGGCAAAGCCAGGGAACATGTCCACGTATAGAAGGCCTGTTAAGCTTTTTTCTCAAACTTTAGGAGGGAGCACTGTTTATACAACAGTAATGCATATAAAACCTTTGAAATCCTGACTGGAGTTGCCATTCCTTATATATTGTGTATGTATTGATACAGAGGCCTGATAGAGTTCTCATGTATGGTGACTACTATTGCTCCACTAGTCAGTGGAATGGGATCAACTCATGTGCAGTACAGGATGTGGTGCCCTACTCACTAGCTCAATCCTTAGCAGGTCTCCCTTCCCCTCAGTTATTTACCACAGAAAGTTATAGGGTCCCCTGAAGATGGAGCAGTATGGGTGTCTGTAGACACTTTGCTCCTTGCATTAAGATGTCCTCAGCTGATCCAACCAACCTCCAAACCACTGACAGCCAAAGTTCTGGAGAGAGGTTGTAACTGCTATAAATATTTTAACAGGTGCCATAAAGAAACGGCAAGGGCTTTTTATTGTGGTGCATAGTAAAGCAAGTCATGCTGTGTAATTTTGTGTACTGAGAAGTTTGCAGAGCGCTCCATTTTAACACTGGTGGATGTAAAGAAGGCTTAAAGTGTGGGGAAACCCTAATAATGATCTTCTTTTTATTTGCTCTGCTTTACTCTGTTAAATATACCATTGAAAGTGTTTAGTTATGTATCGGTTTGATAAGTAAGAAAACATACCTGTTGATCCTGTCAGAAATCTAGTGAGCTGATAACTTGTGTTGAGTGTTATCAGTTAGCATTGTCCCCAGTTACCTCAGGAATACAAAACACTTCCTCTATGTTATGGAGAAGAGTGAGTGTGCGTGGGGGGGTATTCTAATATTCTGTCATAGGGTAACAACACTGCTTCTACCTAGATACAATACAGCAAATTAGTGCTGTCACCTTAGTACAGGAAGCGTGTAACTGGCAGGACCACCAGGTGAAAAATAAAATGGAAAGGCCTAAAAAGGAAACCTAAAAAAGCCACCAAACCATGGACTGGTAAACATCTATCTTTGGGTTTAGATTATCAGTAGGTTGTGGAATACTTACAACACAATAAGTGGGTGAAATTCATTTTTTTTTTTACTATATATATGCCAGACAGTAAAATATGTACAGTATATATATACATCAATCTGTATAGTTTTTTTTTAAAGCATGCTCTTCTTCAAGTTGGTTGTGTTCATATTTCTAATTTCAAAATGTGTATAGTGAAAGTATGCACTTCTAAAATGTACCTTGTAATAAACAATGTATTTTTTTATGGCTGTTAAGTGTTTGTTAGCTGTGTCTTACTGTCCTATCAGTTTTAGATAAAAATAATTATAAAACCTTTAGGGCTTGTTGTAGACCAGATCCAGACCACAATGTTTTTTGCCTGATCCAAAAACACATCCTCATAGATTCTAATGGATTTTCTGAGTGTAGTTCATTGCATTCAGTTCCAGAACCTTAAAAAAAAAGTCCAGCATGTCACATTTTTTCTGGTCTGGAATGCACAAAAATGCAAACACAGCAGAAAGCACTGTAACACACCTAATCTCCAAAAACGCATCTGAGTGCATCGTAAACACACACGCCTGTGTTTGTAGAAACACATCCAGATCTGGTATGGAGAAACCCTTAGACTGGCTTACAAATGGAACACTATATTTTCACTACAGTTTCATTTTAACTTTGGAAAAGTAGCAGTGGCATCATCACTGTATATAGCCTAGGCAGAAAGCAGAGTGGTGCCGAACTCTTGAAGAAATACACAAAGCACACCAAGATTCAAGTCTTTTATATTTAAACAATATTTGCTTGTCTCAGAGCTCAGCTTTAAGCAATACAGCTAGGTCAGCTCCCTGGCCCCCGTCCAACACAATGATAAAGTCACAACTCTGCTCTCTCCTTCTGTCATCATGTTCATGCAGTGCATCTGATTGGTCCCTACTGCTTCCCTTCCTTCTACCAGTATAAATTCTTCTGTTTTGGGAATAACAAAAGGCTCATTCCAAGTCAAATTCATATACTTACACTAATTACATCTCAAAATATATTTAATGATTTTTACTGAATACATTATTGCATTCATTGTTGTAAATATCTGCCTGGAGCTCAGTTTTAAGGCAGTCCTGGATATGTTCCATAAAAGTTCCAAAAGTACAATTTACAAGAAAGCTGCAAATCTTTGAATACTGATAATTATAGATAGATGCTGACATTTATGTTGACACATAAAAGAGAAAGACTACACAGTACGCAAAGTGTTAAAATGAATGTATATACTGTATATATACACATACACACACGGCAATATTCATCTTCAATCCAGAGATTTTTTACCGGGCATTCCTGTTGCAAGAATCTGTAAGTTTTTGTGGCAGGAATGTCAGAACAACCCCTGTGAATGCAGCCTACATTTCTGCCCATTGCTATGCTTTGGCAATCCATTCATAGAGAATGACCTGCCTTAACACAACACTATGGATGATCTCAGGCTCGGACCGAACTCAGTCCCAACCTGAGCTCCTCCAAACAGGCTCCTTTTTCCACCTAATCAGCTGTGGGCCGGGCATTCCCCATCCAATCAGCTGCATGAAAACAAAGGAGCAGGATGCTTGTGCTGACGCCATTACCTTATATCGCCACATAGCCATATTAGGTAAATTATGTTTACCAAATATAGGCATGTAGCCATACACTGAGTGGCCAGATTATTATGACCACCTGACATTTGTAGGCAAATTAGCTATAATTAGCAATAATTTCATGCTGAAGTTGCTAGAGGGCCAGACCATTATAAATAGGGAAGCAGGTTGTTTACCACGACAGTAGAAGTGATTTTTTTTCTGAAGATATGGGTAAACAAAGCGATTTAACAGATTTTGAACGTGGGATGATTGTTGGCGCGAGCCATGGAGCGAGTATCAGCAAAACAGCAGAATTCGTTAAATGTTCAAGAGGGGCTCATTGTTAAAGTGTTTAAAGACTGGACTGTCAGCCGAAAATCTGGGTCTGAACGTGCGAATTGCGGCCGTCAGCGACTAGTCAATGTTCGGGCAGAACGCAGAGTGGCAAGACTGGTACAAGACAACAGAAGGGCAACAGTGCAGTGTCAGATTCCTTGCATCACCTTTCAACATCTCGTGGAGTCACGAGGCGGCTCAACAAAGTCATCTCGTGGAGTCATCTCGTGGCCCAACGAAGTACTGATGGGGTGGTCATAATAATCTGGCCACTCAGTGTATAAGGTCAATGATATCACTGCATTCAGCTACTTTGCTCACGTGAAACTGCAAGTGGGGAATTCCCTGCTCACAGCTG